CTTGCAACTGATAACACTGGCAATGATTTTATATTTATTAGACTATAAAAAAAAAGATCATGCTCCAAATAAGTGGGGGTACGGCGTACCCCCGCGTCCAACGCCCACTACACCAATGTGTATTCCCAAGTGAAAGACATTTGTTTAATCTTAATCTCGATGTGCTATAGTCCTGCCGGAGTGCACCGGAACGAACGATACTATCATAAACAAATGCCCACACACACAAAACGAGGCCACGCTTTATTAACTCGTGCACACGCTTTATTAACTTGTGCGCACGCTTTATTAACTCGTGCGCACGAGTTACTAAAGCGTTCGCACGAGAAGGTATCTCGTGCGAACGAGAAGGTATCTCGTGCGAACGAGAAAGTAAAACGTGGCCACGTTTTATTTATTTTTCTCTATGAACCCTCCAGGACTCCGTACAAATGTACATTTACCACATCTCATTCTTTTAATTCTGCCATTATTTTAAGCACATTTTCTTTGTGAATGCCATACAAAACAAAAGATAACGTTTACAGAGCAACTTGCAGGTTAGAGACCCCAGTGAATAAATGTGTAGGAAAATGATGTATACACTAGATTAAAAAATATATATACATAAATATATATATACTGCAGTGACATCTGGCGTCGTTTTTGTAAGATATTTTTACTTCCATATAAAAGACCACCCGCGTGTGACGTCACATGAGGGAGAGCGGCCGGTCTAACGTATTAATAAACATGGATCACAAATCACAATGCTAGTTTTGACACAGAAGAGGTTGAAAATGTATATTTGTATGCATATGACGGACCACAACCTTATAATGATGAGCCTGCTAGGCGGCAAATAGACCAGGAGTCAGGAGAAGCAAAGGATTAGAATAAATAACGGCCATCGGAGAGAAATTGAGCTGTGGTGTGAGGAGAATCAGTGGAGAACAGGACAGCTGTCTTTGTGAGTGACCGGCGTTAGCTACAGTTAATGTTAGCTAACGTCGGTCACACAACATTGTAAAGTTAGCTATCAGGCTATACGTTACTAAAGTAGTATTGATAATATAGTGACGTTACTGGCAGGACTGTTGATACTGATCCATAACAGAAACTAATGCGCAAGTATCAGCCGTATCTCGCGTTACCCAATGCAACTCCACACTCGTGCGAGAGCAGCGAAGGGGGGGGGAGAGATGTAATACGGTTTCCTGATAAACGTTTTGTTTGATAGGTCTCAGCTGTGGAGATTAAACCATGATTACAAATGGTGAAATGCAATGTAAAATTACCGAAAAAATACCAGCTCACTAAATCCCAACCGCTCAAACCAACTACAAACTACTTCCGCGGATTGGGCAGAGAAGGAGTCCGAGGCTGCGTTTCACTTCGGTTAAATGGATTCCTTGCATCCCTCACTTGCGTCGTTTCCCTGCGACTAGTCCCTCCCACCAGGGAAGCATGGAGAGACGCAAGGAAACCACGAGAAGCAGGGGCCCCGTCTCAGGTCGACTATTTTCATTTCCTTGCTCCTCGGTCCTCGGTCTCACCGGAAGTTGATTTGTCTGCGCCATCTTGAGTACCGTCCCATGGCTTTTATTTCTGCCGGAGGAGCGAGGAGCGATAACCGAGGAACCACCAGACCATCCTCCGATGAAATCCTCAGACACTCGCCCCGCCCCCTTACTGTGTATCGCTCACTGATTGGACGATGCAGCGCATGCACTGATCTGATGCTTCTTGACATGAGAGCAGTTTCCCAGCGGAGTGAAGAAAATACATGAAATTTACGGGACTCACTCCTCAGTTTATACTGTGTTTTGTTTCAATTCATGTTTCATTTAGTTACAAATATGTGATATATCTGAACAACAAAGTGGTCAAAAATCATTTTTTTTGTCTCTTCAACGCTTCTGTCCATTCACTTTGAATGGGGTGACGTCACATTTCGCCGAACTGCATTGTGGGAGCAAAGCGTAGCTTCTCTCGCGGTGCTCGCTGCAAAAGTAGAGCAATGTTCTACTTTTGACGCTTCGACGGAGGCGTCAGCCAATCAAATCCCGCGTATGCAAATCTACCAGTACAAGCGCTAGCCAATCAAACCGCGTGTATGCTGGGAGTGCCAGACCGCAGTTCATTTCCTCATATGCCAAAAAATGGAGGAGAAAATAATCGTAGCGGTAGGGAATCACCCGGTGCTTTATGACCAGTCCCTGTTCACCTACCGGGATACAAACCGGAGGAGCCAGGCATGGAGGGAGGTGGCAGAGACAGTGGGTGAAACTGGTAGGTTTTCGCCTGTTTGGGGAGTTTATATCCAGTGTACTTCGTTTGAATGGACAGCTAGCAAGCATAGACAGTATTTAGCCAGCATGGAATGTTGCGTAAAATAGCACCATAGACATGAATGTCATAAATATTCATCATATAAAGTGTGACATGTAAAACCTTTTATGCAATTGACAGGAGAGATTCATGTGATTGGTTGTTGGTCGCGTTGCTCGCGTAAACTCCCCAAGCTCAAGACACGCCCACTGCCAAGCGGCAACGCACGCCGCCGTGTGTAAGGGCCGTAAAGGTTGTGTCTCGTATGTAGGTTCTAACGGCCCGTCCACACAGCGGCGTTGGAAGCTTCTTCCAACGCTTCTGCCCATTCACTTTGAATGGGGTGACGTCACTTTTCGCCGAACTGGATAATGTTTTCAGGAGGTTATTCATTTGTTTATTAGAAAAGGGGAGCTGGGAGTGGAGGTTGGTTATGGCAGCAGTGGGAAACAGTTGTTCCAGGGTAGAGAGGCCTGGCTGGTCTTGAGAGTGTGGCAGGGCTTGGATTCCTCCTGGGAGAGACACAAAAATCAGTGTGAGGCAAAAGCAGGTAAAGTTAAATGTTACGCTCACCAGCTGATTCCGAGTCATCCTTTTACTTGTGTTAATAGTCAAATTCCAATAGTTAAGTAAACTATCAAAATCATCCTGATGACCACAGTGGTCAGTCCACTTACCCAGGAATTTTGAGTTGAACAATTACAGGAATATTATGTCTTTATGTTCTAATAATGTAAACATATTTTAGTAAATTGTTACCACAGAACATTTGCATACTTTTTTAAACATAAAGCATGTTATCCTTCTCTAAAATAATAACATTCTGGCAACATAAACAAATCTAACTTGCAGCTGAAAACGTTTTAAGAACAGTAGGGCAAAATGTTCTAACAATGTTATCAAAAACATTTTGGGAAGGTTATCACCAAACATTTTAAGAATGTTTTTCGATAACGTTATCCTACCTTTCAGAAGAACGTTCTGGGAACCAAAAGAAAACTTCACGCTGAAAACATTCCTAGAACAATGAATGTAACATTCTCAGAATGTTTTTAGAACCACAAATGTCTAGCTGGGTCTCTTCATTGACCAGTAAGGAAGTCAATAGCATACTCCAAGTGGGCTTATTGCCAACTTTGCCTCTTACAAAACCCTTGCAAAGAAGCAAGTTTTGTTAAGATGTCTCGATAACTCATCCGTTAGATAATGTTTAAGTGAACAAGCTTAGTGCAGTGGTGTGTAGACTGGGAGTTTGCTTTCAAACGCATATATATAACTCAACAACAAGACCCAAAGTAATCCTTCTAATCTTAATAAACCATGAACAGATTTTGTGAAGTAAGTAAGATATTCTCGGGTATAAAAAAAATAAAGATCATTGAGTTTTCTCTGCTTGTTCTAAAGCATCACTTGTGGTGTTGAAGCGAAAGCTACAGACCAAGGCTAGATTCAACATGCCAGCCTAATTAGTGCGATTATCGCACAGCTGCACAGGCTGAGAGGATTTGAAGTGGTTTTATCAAAAGGATCATTTTCCTGGGGAATGCCTCATCCCGACAGTGTGTGCACTGCCAATTCAATTTCTGTTAGGGATGTGCAGGCGCTGTCCACTCAAATGTGCCGCACATTTGAAAGGGTGAACTCAGAGCAGACAAGAGGAGAACAGTGGTAGCATACCGTTGAGTTCCTGCTCAGTGTATAATTGTACATGTGTAAAGCTTTGTAAAGATTAGATGCCTTTTTGTTTTTGTCAGGGCACAGGTACTGCCTCAGACCTCACAACATACCAGTTATTTAAAATCTGTTGGCGCATAATTACACCAGCTTACCCCTCAGGCATTTTCTTGGAGAGCATGGAGGCGGATCCAAATTTAGGCCTAATAATCTTACCAAACAGAATGGCCACTGATGGTGGCCTCATTAACAGCATTAACAATTAAATAAATGCGTTGGTTCAGCTAGGGATTTGCCTTTACTTCCCAATGAAATGGGAGTAATTAGCCTCCAAGTTAATGCACCTTTAACAAGACATGAAATCTTGTTAAATGTCTTATTTTCTCTGGCAATACTATTTATATCATTGACTTTTGATTTTCATCCAGTGCTGGTCCAATCACTGCAATGTGCTAGACCAGTGATTGTTGGGGGGGTGGGGAGGTTGGTGCAAGCCAGGAGCACCAGGGGGCCTCAGCAAGTAGCAAGCTAGTGCCACACACAAAACAATCTGAAAATAAAAAACCTGACGACCAAACCACAGCCCAGCTGACAAAGGTGCTAATGCAAGAACTCAGAAGAATGCCTAGCTCAGTAAAACTAGCCAGAATGAAAAATCATTATCGTTTGTGTTTTTGAATGCCTCTTTGAATACCGTACAATTGGGATCACAGGCTAATGCTTTCTTTGGGGTCATGGCATGGATACGTTTAGAATCCATAGCCCTGTCGACCCAATTGCATCCCCACTCCAACACAAACATAATTGACAATTGTTTTCAGAAATCATCTCTGGCTTCCCTCTAACTCAATCATCACACTGTATTCCATTTCAATACCAATTATTGCTCACTGACTTGGGATGGCTCAGAAATATGCCACTGGCCTTGCTTATCCACCACCAGCATGTTATTTCTCTTGCTCTGTTAATCTCTGCCCCTCCTCTCTCTGTGCACTTGGGTGGGCCGGGGTCTTCAGTGCTCCCCCAGACCTTCATGGCCTCCACAAGCGCCTCCAGAGTTCCCACCCTCCACCAGCCGTGACGTCACATGTCCGGCTCCGAGACCAGTCGGCATTTGCCCATCGCCAGGGTCATGAGAGTAGGGAGGATCGAGAGAGGAGGACCAGGGACCTTCTGTACCACGGAACCCAGCCCACCTGCACGGTCCATGTCACGCCTCCCATGGAAGTTATGAAGGTAAGCCCACCAACTCACTTGTATACCTGTATGAGAAGCAGCCGTGATGTGAAGTGTGTCAATGCTCTGTAGGTGGTGGAAACCCTCTTGTCGAACTTCGATTCCATCTATTCCAAACTAAAGAACACATATTTACAGTTCTTTAAATAGCTAATTCAACAACTTTGGTTGCAGAAATTCTTCCCTGTGTGTCAGCTCCTGAGACAGAAACACAGTTCTCTGAGAGTGGACTGTGTTAAATCCACAGGGGGGATTATCTCTTGACAGAATTCCTGTTTCCAGACATTTGGCGTTCAACACATGTAATCCTATTTGCTCCACTACACTGAAATATTTTCATCAATTTCATTCCTGGTGTGACCAACTGGACCCTGAAAAAGTGCATCTGGAAAACCAAGAAAGCTGCAAATATCCTGGAAATAATATGGGCTTGGTTATCAATATTACATCAGTGAGATGTGTTGAATCAATAAGGAATTTCAAATCAAAAAGTACGACAGAAGCACACCCCAAGTGTGCTTCTGACGTACTTTTTGATTTGTAATTCTGCCAAATGTCTCAGATATGCTTGTGATTTAATTAAGTCCAATACGTTCTGCAAGATAAGTGTGACTGTGAATTGAAGACCTTTTATGGTCATCAGTTGTTGACTTGTGTTTTGTAAACGTTTAATCGCCAGTGTGTTTATTAAAGCAGAGTAATATAATCCTTTTAGCGCTCGTGTCAGTTATCATGAAAATCCAATCCAGCCAGTCTCACTTTACATGTGTTACTATTTTCCAATGTGAAAAATAATATAACTTAATTGTTTTTCCACAAAATATCAGTTTCTGCAGCAAAAGACTATTTGTGGGATTCAGAGGAACTTATTCTCATACTGTATTATTTCCATAGTGAGCCCAGACAAAGATCTCAGTTTCTTGGGCAAATACTTCTTGACAGTTTGAACCTAACCTGTCTGTGGATTATCAAAGACCCCCCAAAGCCGTGCAGGCAAGGCAAAATTAGCTTAGAAGTACCAGGCAAAGCTGCTGGACCATGAAAGTGAAAACATAAAGCCCAGATGAAGTTGTCAAAAAGGGAAGGGGGGGACCCTTAATTAGCCAGGTTACCTTTGACCCCAGTGAGAACGAAGTGAAAAAACAGTTCAGGGATCAAGACAAAGGAAGGCAGAGTAGGTCGACTCACAACTCAGCAACAAATGCATATTTGAATCCGGGCGTTCTTTGGCACCTGCCATAGTTTCTATTTATTTCTATATGCCATCCGGTCTTTTTAGAAAGCTAGATTGTTTTAAGATAGTGCAGTATATTGTGAAAGTGGCTTTTATCAGTATTTCTATAATAGTAATTCATCAAAGGATGTAAAGTATGTGTTATGTGTCTTTGGTAGTTAACCTAAATATAATTATCACATGAATTTGCCACTTCCCTTCAGCTTTATTGAGCTTTTTAGCTAATTGTTTGGCTGTCAAACCCACAGCTTTACTGTTTGGTTCACTTGAACTGCTCTATTAGCATCGTTCACAGTAAAGAAGCTCTATAAACGAATGGTACACTACACGCTCAGCAGCAAACAACAAACAGACCCAGTTATGGTGAACACAGTGGAGCATTTTAGCAATTTAAGATAGACAAATTACACTCAGGAGTTGGTAGAGACCAAGAGATAAAAGAGGGTGGACTTTACCAACATTCATCAGGTGGCCAGCAACCATGGAAATGCAGACATAGCCACCATGCACTACAATCTTTGATGACCTGAAAACCCACTAGGGTTAAAGTTTTGCGACGAAAACACCCTGATGCAAACTCTGCTTTGTTCTCAATTTTTATTTATAGGACTATATTTTTGTTGTATCCAAGAGCACCTAAAACTAGCAATTGAAACTCATATTTTAAGTGTTTCCGGAGGCAAGGGGAATAATAAATAAGGTGAGAAATAGGCTTTTCATCTCATTGACTTTCATATAATCTCACTTCTCACGACCATTTCGGCGTAATGCAGGTTAAGGACACTTACGCATTGGTTTCATTTCACTCCATAACTGCTAGATGTGGAAAATACGGCACTGTTCAACTTTATGCAAAACATTACTGTACCAACTTTGAGGTGGAGTTCATTTAATGTTGTGTTCACCACTTGTTTCCATTGAGTGAAAGCTTTATTAAGAATTGACTATAAGTAAATGGGAGTTTTACATACGATACCCGATCACAACAAAGACTGGACTCTTGGTCGCGGTTAAGTAAGATCTCTCTTTATGCAATAGGAACTTGTGTTTCCATCGTGCATCATAGCTGGGAAAGTGTTCTTGCCTGTGGGCTTCAACCGTTCTCCTTCAAGTTGAGTTCTGCCAACATCCGTGACTTCTTGATTTGATCAGGACTGTTATGACTGTAGTAGATCTTCACTAGTGTTAGTGTCCTTCCCAGCTAGACATTTTTGGTTCTAAAAACATTCTGAGAATCTTACCATTCATTTTTCTAGGAATGTTCTAGGAATGGGGGGAGAGAGAGAGAGTAGAAACAAACACATACTAACTCTAATAGGGGTTTCAGGGACGGGCAGTGACAGTCGGTCCGTTCTTCTATATGTCTGTCGGTCTCAAATCTAAAGGGTGCAATAACGATTTGTATCCAATATGCATAAACAGCGGACACTGTTTATACGCAGCCCTCACAAACCACACACGGCCAGATAGCTTATCTAACAGTTAGAACCTACATACGAGACACAACCTTTATAGTCAGAACAAAAGTGTGATTATTTTCTGATATTTTACACATATGATATTATGAATACGGTGGGCCTACATACCTTAGTGTGATTATAAGTGCATGCGTCCTATTCATTATCTCAATGCGCTTATACGGCCATTATGCAAATGCAACAACTCGCCTGCCGGAGGAGAGTACCAACGTTAATCGGCGATACTCCTGTCGACTGAAAGTGGCTTTTGTCATGATACAAATAAACTTATTTGGTTTCTAAGTGTTATTCCATCAATATGACAATAGAGACATGTGCATAAACAACCAAAACACTTGCAGCTGAAAACTTTTTAAGAACAGTAGGGCATAATGTTCGAACAATGTTATCAAAAACATCTTTAGAAGGTTATCACCAAACATTTTAAGAATGTTTTTAGAGAACGTTGTCCTACCTTTCAGAAGAACGTTCTGGGAACCAAAAGAAAACGTCCCGCTGAAAACATTCCTAGAACAATGAATGGTAACAACTCACAGATATCACCGCAAACATGAAATATCTGCTTACAGCTTATCATGAATTACGTGCTTGTTTGTTTTTTAAAGCGCTCTACAAATAAATCTGACGTTGACGATGACCGTGTTAATATTTCGCATCACAGGAACGTTTTATAAAAAAAGAATAACCTCCTGAAAACCTATAAAAACGTTGTCATCTCAGCAGTGGCGGTTCTAGAACATTTTACATGGGGGGGCAAAGGGGAGGCAAGAGGTCATGCCAGGGTGGCATAGGAGGGCGGACAGTACGTGGTATTTTATACTGTATATAACCTATTTATTGTTAATTCATGCCCTAACACAAGTGTTCTTAATGCACAAGAGAAACAAGGTGTTCAGACAAACAATCGGGTGCCCTTTGAGTCCCCCAAGCTTACCTCAACCATTTTAAATGAAAGGAAACTACAAAATGTATTTTAAAGCAGTGTAAAATTAAATATATATTTTGTTTAAAAAAAAATTGGTTGTCTTAGACAGACATATTTGCATGTCCTCACTAAGCATTATTACATATTAATTTAATATTAAACAAATCAAAATGGCCAATTATCCCAACATGTTGCTGCTAATATAATCACATGCTTGTCAACTTTAACTGATCAAAAATCAATTCTGAAAAAATACTTGAATTATCTATGAAATTGCAATATTGTCCCTCAGTTTGTTTCAACCCCGTCACGCCATACCATTTACCCTCCTATTAAAATAATGGACCAGTCCATGTGTGATCTGCATTGAGGGAATTACATCACAAAAGTGTCAGTTTCTTCTCTTACCTATATTTCAGTTTTTGTATTTTCAGATTAAGATTGACAAGCTCAACATTTCAACTATTGTTTATTACAAAAATAAACAATAGTTTTGCAAAATATTACAATTTTGTAATGTCCTTGATTTCCATGTGGTGCCATATCTTAGCTAAACAAGGTCTCATGCTACTTTTTGTCAAAAACTTCAACCCTGTTACATTTTTTCAAGGAAATTCCTAGTAATTATTTATATGTTCTGCCTGAGGTGGGAAAATGTAAGTAGTCCACTACCAGATGTTATGACCAAACATTTTGGTTTCATTTTTCAAAGATATAAAGACCCAAAAGGCACCTGATTCAGAGAATACTCAGAATTCTGCATACTGTAAGTACTTAATTATAATTAAGTACACAAATGACATCACCGCCATCTCTTCAGAGAGCTACAGGTGACCTGTGCAGCAACACATTTCAATACATATTTGTCAATACTAAGAGCTGCTAGATTGTGCTGCTGTAATGGAATATATAAGGAGAATAAGAACATACCATGTGGTCCAGCTGGAGTCTCATCTGCCTCCTGATCCCTGATGCCTCTGTCCCTCTTTCTGATACTTCATCTTTATTCCTCACATATATTTCTTCTTCTTCACTAATGTCTTCATCTCCTCCTCTTCCTCCTGCTCTGAGCCTCCTGGTCTCTTCATCTCCTCCTCTTCCTCCTGCTCTGACCCTCCTGGTCTCTTCAGCTCTCTTTTCCTTTTCCTCTTTCTGTTCGTCCTGATCACTTCTCATGTCTTTTTGCTGTTGTTGAATCACTCCTATACTCTGGCCTGCAAGAGTCTACTTGTGAAAAGCACTGGTACAAATGCTTGTATAACTTTACACGTTAGGGCCATGTAGCCTAGCTAATATGTAGCATATCATACATATAACATCAGAAAGTATTGATCAAGCGCACACAGGCAGCTGTGTTTGGATC